GTTTATATAACAGAAACAAAGATTTAAAAAGAAAACAAATATAAAATAAACCTAGCCATTTGGTTTCCAAAATTAGGAGTTACAACAACTTAACTCTGGCTACATTCTAAAAACCAGATGGTGTATATCTGTGGCTTTCCCTTCTAGGCTTCTACCTTGCCCCCATCCATCCCCAAAAACTTCTATTGCTTCTAAAACCCCAAATTTTCTCAGAAACCAAACACAGACAATCACTTCGAAAACATAAAAGTAGGGTTCAAAGGGAAAGAAAATGGATATCAACCATTAACAATTAATTATCAAAGCATAAAGAAAAGAGAAACGGATTAACGAATCAATGAGGAGAATACCGTTATTTGGAAGAGCTCGTGAGGGCAAAGCCCAGACAAGTAGAGGAGGCAGAAATCGCGGTCGTAGTACTTCCGATTCAGCTCCCTTACGTCGTCATAGCTGCTTCCGCGTGGCATCCATCTTTTTTCTCTTCCCCTCTCAATGTCGAAGGAAATAACCACTCTGCCTCTGCTTAGGGTCAGGTGTCTGCTTAGAGATCTCAAACTAATGAACCCATTCAGTCCTCCCCATTCGTGCAATATCAACGTTATTTCATTTACACACTCGTCCTTAGAGTTTTACTTTAGCTGTTTTCTGTACTGTAGAGTTTTACTTGGTTGCTCCTTTTGCCATAGAGGTTTACTTATTTGTATATCAGGTGTATTAATTATTTCATGTTTATTTTAAAGTGGAGAAAGTAGGGAATGAGGAAATTAGAAAACAAGAACTAAGAGGTTGTATTGGATTTATTTAATTTATACTCTTTAGGCATTGGTTAAGGGTGCACTAATATCTACATTGTATTGAAAATCTTATTAGAATTAAAATCATGATTAGGATTTTTAAAAAACAGATATTTGAAGGATAAAAAATATCTAAATAAGTCATTTACATTGGCATTAGGAGCAGACTCACCTAGAGTAAGATTTTACACTTTTGCTCATAATTTCCTCTGTTACTTTTCCTCTCAAACAAATGTTTACTCCCCCAAGCAACCCCGATTCCCTTGTTGATATCGAACCAACATATCTTTAGTTTTCTAATTTCCTCATTCCCTATTTCCTCCACTTTAAAAAGGGGGTTGATGAAAATATGAATGTCCTTCTCTATATAAAGTACTTTTTACTTCTTTGCTGAACTTAAAATTAATTGAAAATTGTTTAATTCTTTTAATAGTTATAATGTTTTCACATTAACTTGCATGTTTCTCAAAATTAAAGAATAGTTTTATAAGTAGGACCCTCTCTTTGGCCTATGGGTTAGTGGATCGTAAAAGGGTGAGTCCACCATTAGAGGTGGTTAGTCCCTAAGAAAAAAGTCACTCTCCAATGGGACCTTCTTTTCTCATTTAGTCTAAGGTTTTGGTGTAGGGAGTTAGAGGTTTGCATGGCAATGTCACAAAGTTCTAATCTTGGGGTGCCAGGGCATAGAGCAAGGGCTATTGTTGGTGCCAACCTATGCTTCCTAGTTCTCGATGGATAGAGGGTTACATCAGTTGTCCATGGGAAGTTGATGTGCAGATCACTATGATGAGAGCAAGAGTAGTGCAAGTGCCCTTCTCAAATTGGAGGCAGATAGGGGCACTAGTTTTAAGGTCTATTTGGTGTAGCTTGTTGGAGCTTTTACTTTTTTTGTATTGTTCATGAATGATAAGTTTAAATTTTTATTGAAGGGAAAATTTAAAAGTTACTTTTAGATATAGAAAAAAGTGAGTAAAACGAAAGTTTATGAAAAACTTAAATTTGAAGCTTTTGATCTTTTACTATTTATGGTCTTTTTAAGGTTAAAAAAATATTTAAAAATGTAAGTTTTTAAGAGAAAAATTTAAATTTATGAAACATGAATAATGTCAAAAAGTTGAAGCACTTGGAAGTTGAACCAAACACACCCTTAATCTCCTAAAGATTTGTGTGCAAAATCCTTAATGGATTTGAAGGATATAGAAGGGAGGGGAAGGGAAGGATGGCTTTTTTCTTTTTTTCTTTTTTTTCATCAATTAGATTGCAAGATTTTAAAATGTTACAATTTAATTAATTAAAAAACTCATTCCTCCACTCCATTTTCATCAAACCAAACATACCCTAAAAACAATGCTAGCTAAAATAGAAGAGGATAATTATCCTCTATTGCATAACTAACTTATCATTTAATTAAAAAAAAAACTATATTGTATAACTAACCCATCACTTAATTTAAAAAAATAATAATAATAAAATAGTTTTAGCATCTAATTGTACCTTGTATTTTTCTTCTACTTGGGAAGTTGCATATGCTCTCTTATATTTTAACGCCCAATTATATGAACTTAAAAAATTGAGGGTAAAATAATCAAAATTGACTTTTTATTAA